ATAAAGGCCTCGTGAAAATTAGACCAATCATACACCCAGACCTAGAAAATTAAGCCGTGAAGGCCTTTATCTTAAACTGGGTGGCCAATCTCTATTGCCTTGCATTTGTCTTCTTTTTTTTTTTTTTTTTTAGAGGTTTTTTAGCCAAAATGATCCATGAGATTTGTATAACACATTATTTTGGTTCGTGAGACTGAAAATCAATAGAAATGATCTAAGAGATTGTCTATCATTCATTATTTTGGTCATTCTGTTAAGAACTTCTTTAAGTGTCCCGAAACTCTTAAACGTTCATAACTTCTTCAAGCCATTTTCTGGCCAAACCACGGCGAGTTAGCCATCGATAAAGGTAAGATTCTATTCGTCTCGTTAAGAAGTATGATTTTTGTTTTTGAATCACTCGATTTCATTGAGTATTGAAGAAGTTACAAACGTTTAAAGTTTACCCAGTTTCTTGCGAGTTTTCCAGTTTTTCTGCGGACCAGTCACCTTTCAACCTATTTTCTGGCTATCTCGGCCAACCATTGGGCTTCCAAATAACGAAAGGTTATTAATTTTTTTTATTTAAAATCAATAATTTTTATCAGAAGCAATGATTTTTTTAATTTAAAATTATCGAAAGGTTATTAATTTTTTTTTATTTAAAATCAAGAAGTTTTATCCGAAGTAATGATTTTTTTTTAACCAAGTTTGGTTAATAAGCCGAATGGTTAAGGAAATTAAACCATTTTGGCTTGATATCCTCAAGTTTCTCAATTGAAGCGTGAAGGGCCCAAAAACCGGGACTAGGATTCTCTCCCCTTCCATCCTCTCCTCTCACATTCTATATTTTATCTCTCTCTTTTCATAAAACAATTAATATAAGATGTTATCGTGATTTAACCGTAATCATTCAATAAAAAATGAAAAAAAAAAGAAGGTAAAAAAAAAAAAAGGGACGAGGGAAGAGAATCCTACAAAACTGATATTGCCGAACCGTGCATCGTACTACTAAATTCGCACCTCAATTGACAAAGTCACATCACATCACATGCACGTAGATTATTCTACTTTTTGGAATAAAGACAAACTCCCCTACTTCATTGATTATGGCCGTGCAATATGAATCATGAGTCATGGACCATGAAGGCCACGTGAAAATTAAGCCAATCTCACACATGTAAATATTCCACCAAATGCCAATCTTACAGACCTGGAAGGTTAAGCCACGTGAACGCCCATTTCCTGAAGTGGGTGGCCAATCTCTTTTGCCTTCCATTTGTGGATTTTTTATTTTTTATTTTATTTTTTTTTATAAACAATTTAGTCCCTGTGGCCTGGCATTGTCTTCTCCAAAAACAAATCTAGGCATTACCAGTCACCAGTCTGAACCCAAAGAGGCATGAGATCGCCACAAAAGTTTTCCAGAGAACGCCGAGACTCTCACTGGATAGCAATGCCGCCGCCGACACTAAAGAAAGCCCACCCAAGGGGGATCCTAACAAACTTCACCATGCTAACTCCGAGTTGGTGCTCCAATGCCGACGTAGTTAAATGATCAAGAAGTTTTATTAGAAACAATGGTTTCTATTGTTTAAAATTAACGAAAGGTCTTGAACCTTGAGTTCGAAATGCTATCTACTTTTTTATTCTTTTTTATTTGTACGAGTTTTTGTTTAGTTGTTAATTTCTTTTTAATTACAAGCTATGTAGATTGCAGTTTTTAGATAATTGTTTCAATTCAAGTCTAACATTCAATAAAGAGTAACGTGTAGACCAAACTTGTAAACATATGACGTGTCATCAATATGAAAGATATACGTTTATCGAAGTCTTATGTGTGCAAACAAAGAAAAAACCAATATGAAATAAATACGTTTATCAAAGCCTTATATGTGTAAACAAATATTTTTCTTATGTGAAATTAGGTTACATTTCTTTGAGTTGCCCAAGACCTCAAAAATCTCAGAATCACCATCCATGCACCACGTGCCAAAATGTCTCTAATGATCGGATTATAGCCATCATCATCCATCCACAATTTTAATTTCATCATTACCATTTCGTGGTATCTGCCTTCCAACACCAACACGTACTTGCACGCCTTTGGTCAATAGGGTTGTAAGTTATAATCACAATTCATAACTTAATTGATTAAAATATAAGAAAAAATAATGAAAAGAGCTTGAAAAGTTTTAATTTTAATAAAAAAAACCATGTTATAAATTTTATTTAATAATTAGTACAAGACCTATATTAAAGTAATCCAACTAAAAATGGTCCAACTATAATAAATTATGATTTGTCGATTTTACCCCTAACTTTTTGAGGTTGAGTTCCAAATTTTCGTCGTTAATGGAGTTCATCGTTGTTTTGCAAACCTTCTTCTTTTTCTTTGAAACAAAAATATAGATCCTCATGCTATTTAATTTATATTTTGTATTATTTCGTTGAAATGTGATCGTCGTTATTATTCATAGTGTATTTGAGGTACTGTTTTTCAATTTTTCATCATCAGTGGAGTTCATTGTTTGTTTCTTCAGAAAATAAATTTGAAATTTGCATGATATTCAATAATAACGACGGGTCACTATTTCTGGACTGTAAAAATAAATTGTTTCTGGATTTAAGTAACAATGTTTTTGGAATCTAAGTCATTGTTTCTGGATCCAAATGAAATAGACACATTGTTTCTTAAATGTAAGCTATAAAAGAAATAGTGAAATTCACTGTATTTAGATTCAAAGCAAAATAAGCACCATGTTTCTTAAATATAATCAACTGATGCATGAAAGAAAAAACAGTCAAATGTTAAAACATAGATTGTTTCGGGAACTAAGTCATTGTTTTTGGAATCTAAGTCACTGTTTTTGAAACTAATTCACTGTTTCTGGAATTTAAGTCACTGTTTCTGAAATTTAAGTCATTGTTTCTGGAATTTGACTCACTATTTATAGATTTTGGTTCCTTTCTTTCCAGATACAGTGTTTGTTACAGTGTTTGTTTGTGGACAGACAAAACAAACACTGTATCTGATTTTTTTTTTTCTTTCCAAAAACAGTTTTATGTTTTGGTTCTTTTTTTTTTGGTTTTTCTAGACACTTTTTTTGCCATTAAACTTCTTTGAACTTGTTTCGGCAACTTTGTTTCATTGAATGCTTCTTTTTTAACTTTGATTTGGTTGTTTTTGAAATGAGGGAATTCGATTTGATAGGAAGACAATGAGTTATTATGACAATTTCGTGTTGGGTTGAAGTTGGTGAAGAGTCAAGATAATATCAAATCATTTAGGGGTATTTACGGAAGTATATATTTGTAGTGGGTTGGGCTTCTAAGTTTGACCCATAGACAATAGTTTTGGATGGTTTTTTATTAAACTTTGAGCCCTTTTGGTTAAATAACATTTTGGGATGGTTTTTAGTTAAATACTAGAAATATTGCCCGCGCGTTGCTGCGGGATTAGAAACCGTATGAAATAAATATGTTTCTAAGCTATAAGAGATTGTTAAAGAATGTTAATGTTATTTACACTGAAAGATGTTTGAGCTTTTTGAAAGAATTTTCACATGAAGAACAGAAATTGGGTGAATGAAGCTCTTGGAATTCTTTAAACTACTCTATAAATAGCATGACATGTGATTGATTGATAGTGTACCAAAAATTAGTAAAAGAGTGTAAGAGTATTATATGTATTATATATGAAACTATATTATTGGAACCACCTAATGGAAAGCTGGAGTGCTATGGTATACTCAGTTATAGTTTCAAACCCAATAAAAGAATGCAAGACAGAATATATACACATAAAAGTAAAAACTATTAAGTTTGACAGATACGAATTATTGAGCTTGCAGAAAATGGGAAGAGTGATTGAGAAAAGGGAGCACTAAATTAACTGTTTTTCCTTTCCTTCCCTTCCCTTCCCTCGCTACATAAACAGTAGAGTAGCTCTCGTTTTTCAGTTTTTTTTCACGCCATTCTTCATGCCAAGCCAAAATCAACAACTAAATTATAACATGCATGTTAATAATACCATGAAAAATTCGACTTCATTATATATGCATATTATTTTCTTAGTTCATATATGAATTGGATATTATCTCTTCCAAAACCACCAACCAAAATCACTTCTCAAAGAGATTATAAATAGAAGAGAGTGGAAGCTTACCCAAAGCCAATTTCGCGTAGTAGCATTGTGCTACTCTCTCCATTTTCTTATTTTTGACCCAACAATCTCTGCATTTAAACGCATAATGGTTTTTTTTTTTTTTTTTTTTTTTTTTTTTTTATATATATAAAAAAAAATTTCAGTAAGCCCGTATCAATTCCAGAAAATTTTAAGTTTAAAACCGAAATTAGGCATAATCAAAGATGGACCATTTCATCATCATATACGAAAGGTATCAAAACATACCAAGAAAAGGGTAGGCAACAAAAACAAATTGAACGCAGAAACTCAACAAAATAAACAATTTAGAGCGGTTAAGCATCTAAGGTACAATATTAAAGATCATAGAAAATAAGAACTTACAGAGATTATCAGGCAGTTTCTGGTTTTTGAATTTGGGATTAAATGATTCAAATAAGCACTTGAAAGAATGATTGATAACAAAAATCTAAAGTCAACACAACATGCAGTCATCTACAGAGCTCAAATACACATTCACTAAACATAGTCCACCATCAATCCACACATATTTGGTTAAAGGAAAAAAGCGAGTTTAACCTGTTGTGTCACCACAACATCTTGAGGATCATCCGTGAGGAGCAGAATGCAAAGTTTGTACAAAAAGAAGTGTTGTTTTCAATGTTAGGGTGCCTTCAACATATGAGATACATACACCAAAAAAACATTATTAGTGATCCCTATGCATATTGTTTCTCTGAGTATTCCAATTCAGCAGTCCTAGAATCTTAACACAGTGGCACTTGGCTGTTTCTCTTATTCTATGAACTGTTTTTTCTTTAAAGCACATTCTGCTGATAAATAGATTATTCACAAAAATTATGAAATACAATTGTACATTAAGTGCTAATAATTTTCATAAATTGGCTAGTTACATTTCCTTACAACTTGAGTGATGTCTAAAATAAATGATGGATGAGGTTATAGTTTATAAGTTTCACAGTTACATTTACCCACAATTTAAGTGGTATATTTAAACTCCAAATGATGCACAGGTTATCAAGCAGTTACATCATTATTTTAAAAATTCACATCCAATAAGAGTATAAATACACCTAATTGGTAATATCTTGAGAGAGAGATACCTGGCAATGGGTTGACTTGCAATGAATGGCAATGGGTCGTCTTGCGATGAACTAAGAACTCAACTTTTTCTTATGATTACGTCACTACCTTCAAGAAATACATTAATCAGTAAAATCAGAAGTGACAACACAAAAGAAAATCCCAAGTAAAGTTCTCATTAGCAGTGAAATTATTTGTACTGCACTAAAAGATTTAGAGATAAGGAGATAATGATTTAAACAATATTATCTCAATCATCGTTCTGATAAAGAGAATACGTTACTTGTCCAAAACTACCAATCAGGACCATGGATCAAAACTAACAGTCAAAACCTTTCATAATAGTAAATTATTGTTCTTTCTTAAGATTCCAAATACTTGGATACACAATCCTTTTATAGTTGATATGGACACTTGACCCTCATCAGTCTTATATACTCCCCTCGTGGCCATGGGACTTTTTTTTGAGAGCATTAGATAGAAGGGCATGCTTTGAGTATTCAAAATTTTCAATTTCTCAGTTTTCTCTAAACCTCATGATATGCCGATAATAGTTAAAGATGAATGAACAAAATTAAAAAAAAAAAAAAAAAAAAGGGGTTAAAACCAAAGGAGAACCGAAATAGAGAAACGAAGAAAGAAAACCATAAATGGAACCCAAACGCAAAGAGAGTGAGAGAGTTAAACCCAAAAGCTTAACCCAATCTCATTTGCATACCATTTGACCATATTAAGAAAAATATGAAATTTGCACCCCCATTTAACCATAATAAGGATAGAGGGCACTCACATCATTGTAGTAGTACTCTTCTTTGTTATGCTTTTCCCTAAAACTGCCATAAAAAAACCCAGAAAGCATAAAAATTTAGAAGCAGAAAAGAAAAGGTTCGAAATTGCCATTGGAAATGCAGAAGGTACAGATGGAAACTAAATTGAATTATTATGCCCTCTCTCCTCCTTCCTCCATATACTGGTAGTTACAGTCAATCTATTTAACTTATTCCCAACTTCATCAAAACAACCAAGAAGTATAAAACAACAAGGTTAATTCTCACTTTCTTTACTCAAAATGAATTCTACTTCTTCCCATCTATTTGCACATCCCTTCAACACTCTCAATTGATATTAAGACAGAAAACAAATTGTTGCAAGAAAGAAGTGAGAGGAAACATCGAAAAGGGAAGCCGAACAGTGAACAACCTGTGTAATTTTGTGAAGATTGGCAAAGAGATCCTATAGAGATGGGAGAAAATGACACTGAAATAGGAATCCCGACCCAAATATCTTCCCAGAAACAAAACTTCCCCCTTTCCAACTGTGAAAGGAAGATTACAAAAGAACATGGAAAGGACCTGAGCTTGTCTTTCCATAGGCATCCCCACAACCCTCTAATAAACTCGAATAAGTCACGTCATGCAACATATATTTATTCCATAGTCCATACAACAAAATTCCACATACAATTAGTTCCCAAGAGTAGCGAAGAAATTATTAATGTTATTTAGTCATACACTTTCATATATACTAAGCAATATTACCCTCACCAGTCATTTCCAAGTCAATCCATACCTGTGGCATTTTGTACTCTTCTGGAGGTATCTCTGTAATTTGCTTACTAAACTTCTCATTTACCAGCAATATGTTATCAGAGTCGTTAACTTTTTTTCTTGCTATTGCCTACCTCAAAAGATGCATAATTAGAACGAAGATACTCATATTTTTCAATCCGCATAGAGGGATTATCAACAAATATTCACCTAAGTAAATCATTTATTATGGTTATTACTTATTATATATGCCCAATGCCTAGTCTATCATGAATGTAGCTTACATTTCGAGAAAAAATATGCTAAGAAATAAATTTTTTTTTGTTTATAAACAAAAACTTATACTTCAGCTTCATCAAAATTGCAGGATCCATTAGAGAAATATTAAGAAAAATAACATAAAATGGTAGTTCATAGATTCAGTTGAGTTGTAAATGTTAGTATATAGCATCCAAATATATTGGAAAGATAAAAGTAAATAGTAATCAACGAAATTTTCCTAGTAGAACTTCGCCCTGGAAATTGTCGACACCAGCTCAATTTACAGGAATCAAACAGAGGATAAGAGAAAATTGGTCCGAGAAAATACCATGGTTGCGAATGAGCTGACGACAACAAAGGGAGAGACAGCGGCGAAGGGCTGGAGTTTCTGGAACTCTCATCGTCTGCTGGTGTGGAGTAAGATTTTTAGTAGGTTTTTGGGTAGAACCAGAAAATCAGCCCTACATCCCTCCCTCACTTTTTGTCTGTCTCCAATCGCTCAATCCTACCCCTTTTTGGACAACCATACTTCTCCCTCTCTCTCTGTCTCTGTCATTTCAAAGTCCCATTCTTTATCAAATTCAACAACTGGATTTTGACCCAAAAAAAAAGACTGGATAATTCACACAGATTGAAAAAAAACCTACTCACATCGAGACGGAGATATTTCGGAAGCAGCGCAAAGTAGTCATGTGGAAGATCAAAGCTGTTCTGCATAGGAAATAATAAAATTGAAAAAAAAATCAAAAACTTTAAATTACAACTAAATTTATTCATTTCTTAATTGAAATCCAAAAAAAAAAAAATGCAAAATTTAAGCAATGCAGAGAAAACCCAGATCCTATCCCAAATTTGTACTCGAAGCCTTTTTACAAATCCCCCAAACATGAATCAGAGAATAAGTAGAGGATTGAGTATGGGGGAGGAGAGACTGCAAGAGGAGAAAGAGAAGAGAGAGAGAAAGTGTGTGTGTTTGAGCGCAGTGGTGCTGTTGCAGACGGCACAAAGGGATAAACCCAAACTTCAAAGCTAAAAAAAAACCCAGAAATCCCTAACAACCTAGACCATAGATTTGAACAATCAAGAAGCTGCTGAATCAAAAATAAACCTTCAGGGGTTTCTCTGGCTAGAAAAACCGCCGTCGGCAGAGATTTGTGAGCCGATTGAAGCAGAGATTTGTGACAGAGAGATGGAAACGAAACGAAAAGTTGAGAAACTTCTAGCCGCTCTAGGGTTTTCAATGAAAGAAATTCGCAAGAGTGGAGCAGTTTTCCGGGAAGAAAACCGCCGTGGATAATCGGCGAGAGAAAGATGCAAACGTTGGACATTTGATAAGAAGAAGCGGAGGAACAGCGCGAGTGAACTTGATCTCAGAAAGCTCTCGAGAAGCAGAAAAGAGAGAAGAAGAGTGCGACCCGTGAATTCCTTTTCCACGATGACCAACACGTGGACATCAAGGGTAAAACTGTAAATTCAATGTTCAAAACAGAGAAAAAAGCTTGAGAATTAGCAGCAGCCAAGGGCATTTTTGCCACTTTACTGTCCGTGAACAGTACACCCGACTTTGGGTTTTAGTATGGAAATAATTTGTTGGCCTAAACCCTTTTCATTAAAGCTCCTTAAAATATATTGCTTAATTAGGACTTAAACAAGGACAAATAAGAAGGCAACTCTTAGCCACTTCTCTTCTTATTAATCTACCTGACACTTATAACCTATTTCATCCAATACCGACACATCACATGCATGCAACGTGTGGAAAGAAGAATTACATGCCCAAGTTGATAAATAGGTTTTGAAAATCCTTAATAAACCTTACCTGACACTCATAATCTATTCCACCCTAAACCCTAAAGATTACAAATCCTAATTCTACTTAAAATAAAACTCCAGGAATATTTATAATTAAGACTCACATCAACACTTCTCCTCAAGTTGGTGCATATATATCATACATGCTCAACTTGATAATTGAGTCTTGGAAAACCTTATTAGATACTACATGAGTAAGAATATCAGTCAACTGCTCTTATGAACTCACAAATGGTATAGACAGTCTTTTTTTTCAAGATTTTCCTTGAAAAGTGTCGATCAACCTCCACATGCTGTGTTTGATCATGTTGTACTGGTTTATTTGCTATCTCCCTCGCAGATTTATTGTCACAATATAACTTTGTAGCCTACTTTGGTTCAAAGCCAAGACACCTTAAAAGTTTACGTAACCAAAGAAGTTCACGTATTTTGTGTGCCATACCTCTATAATCAGCTTCAGCAGACGACCTCGACCTCGACATCACTTTTTGCTTCTTACTACGCCATGTAACCAAATTACTTCAAACATAAAATACACAGATGTACATCGTTTATCAATAACATTGCCAACCCAATCAGGATCTTTAAACCTATCAACTTTCAGATGTCCAAGTTTTTCATAAAGTATTCCATTATCAGGTGCAGACTCTAAAAATGCCAAAATTTGCATTACCACAACCATGTCATATTCACTGGGTGAGTGCATAAACTGGCTTACAACACTCACAACATATGCAATATCAGGATAAGTATGAGATAAATAAATTAATCTCCCTACAAGTGTTTGGTATCTATCCCTATCAACAGGAGCTTGATCTGGATAAATACCCAAGTGATGCTTTTCTACCATAGGAGTATCCATAGGTTTACACCTTAAGATACCAGTTTCTTTCAACAGATCCAACACATAATTTCGTTGCGAAAAGAAAATTCCTTTAGGTGAAAGGGCAACCTCAACTCCAAGGAAGTACTTCAATTCTCCCAAATCTTTCATCTTAAATTCAGATGCAGGATTTACCCATAATTTTTGGATTTATTCTTAATCATCCCCTGTAATAATCATATCATCCACATAAATAATTAAAGCAGTTAGTTTGCCAAGCCTTAGTTTGCCAAGCTTACTAGATACAAAGTGTGATTTGAATGGCTCTAGTGATACCCATATTTCTTCATTGCTTGAGTAACCATGGCAAACTAAGCACAGGGTGATTGCTTAAGTTTGTAAAGAGACTTACGCAATCTGCACACTCTTGTACTACCACTTGCACCATAGCCTGATGGAAAGACCAATACATTTCCTTTTCCAAGTTCCCATGAAAGAATGCATTCTTCACATCAAACTGTTAAGAGGCCAACCTATATTTGCAACTAAGGAAATCAAAACACATACTGTATTCATCTTTGCTACCGCAGATAAGGTTTCTTGATAATCTACACCATATGTTTGAGTGTACCTTTTAGCCACTAACCGTGCTTTATACCTATCCACTAATCCATCAGCCTTGTACTTGATTGTGAACATCCAACGACAACCAACATGTTTCTTCCCTTTTGGTAATTGCATTATCTCCCAAGTTTTATTTTTTTTGCAAAGCTGACATCTCTTCATCCATCGCTTGTATCCACTTAGGGTCTCATAAGGCTTCTTCTACCTGAGTTGAAGGTTTGATTGATTCCATATTGTTTATCAATGCTCTGCATTATGGTGAACAACGCTCACATGATACGTAGTTAGCAATTGGATACTTGATCTTCCCTTCTGGAGAGAACATGTCAGGTGGCACACCATGATTATGTCTTGTTGACAATTTATAAGTACTCACACCAATATCAAGACTAGTTGTATAACTATTTAAAATGCTTACCCTCTTGGGTATTTAGAAGAGATGGAACGGGCACTACAAAATCAGAGAGAGGGTGATACAGACATACTGGGCAATTCGGCAGCATCCTGCTGAACTAGGATGTACTATTTGGTGGGAGCTTGTTGAATTAGACTGTTTTCTTTGGTTGCAACTTGCCAAACTGGGATGTATTGTTCGGCGGGAGCCTGCTGAACTAGACTATGTTCTTCGGTTGTAGCCTTCCGAACTGGGTTGCTGGGTTCGGTAGGTTCTTGCCGAACAACTAGACGGATTTCCATAACTTCTATTTCTCCCCCTAAAGTATATTCCAACCAAATTAGATCACACATATCACTAATTTCCCCTGGTGATTTGAATTTGATACAAATGAAGTATAAAAATATCCAGGCTCCGAGAATGTCACATCCATGGTTACAAACTTACGTTGACTAGCAGAATAATAACACTTGAATCCCTTCTAATGTGGGGAAAATCCAAGAAAGACACAACGGAATGCACAAGGATCAAGTTTACTGCGATGAGCTTTCTGAATGTGAACATACACCATACAACCAAAATCCAAGGTGACAAAGTATTGTAGAAACCACTGGAACATGTTGAGTAAGCTCCTGAAGTGGTGTTTGATAATTCAAGACCCCATAAGCTTTTAGGAGCATATGCACAAATAAGCAAAGTGTGAGTTGTCTCCAGGATATGACGATTCTTCTTTTCCGCCACCCCATTTTGTTGTGAGGTATGCAGACATGTAGTTTCATAAACAATCCCACGATCTTGTAGAAACCTGGATAACTCAGAATTTATGTACTCTCCACCACTGTCAAAACGCAAAACCTTAATATCAGAGGAAAACTGAGTTTTAACCGTCTGATGAAATAGACAAAACACATTACAAACCTCACTTTTATTTTTCCACACATACAATTATGTCATATGGGTGCAATCATCTGCGAAAGTAACAGACCACTTAATTCCTGAAATAATACTGACAGGGGAATGCCCCCACACATCAGAGTGTATTAGCGCAAACGGAGAAGACCTTTTATTCATACTTGAAGGGAATGAAGCATGATGACTTTTGGCTAAAATGCATACTTTACATTTCATTCTAAGTATTCAATACCATTGAACATATCAGGTAACATATGTTTTAAATAACCAAACGATGCATGCCCTAAACGACGATGCAACAACAATACCTTTTATAGATTAGTATTACGTGATGCACAAACCAAATTAGCTTTTTCAGGAACCATGCCATCTACATAATATAGCCCCTCTCTCTTAATGTCATGCCCAATAATCTTCTTTGTCTAAATATTCTGAAGCAAACAAAATAAATGATAAATTAATACAACACAATCTAAATGTTCAGTGACTTGTGGTACAGACAAACTATGATGGGATAATGACAGAACCAATAAACAATTATGTAAGGGAAGAGAGGGTGTAAGACAAACTGTTCCGGCTCTAACAACAAGAGCAATAGTACCATTGGTAGTTGTCGCACACTTTCTATGAGGATGTGTCTTAAATTGAAACAAAGTTTTATCATATGACATATGATCCGTTGCATAGGAATCCAAAACCCAACCTTTATTCACTATTGTAATACCACACGACTGCACAATAAGGACAGCACACAGACCTACTTGCAGCAAAATACTCCTTATACGACACTGCAATTGCTTACGCACAACAATTGCACTCGGAACTGCAGTTGTAATTGTACACAACAAAAAAAAGTGCTGTTTCACACAGCAACACGGCAACGATGACAACTAGGGAGCAGCAAACTGTAGCCCAAGTATATAAAATGAAGAACTATAATTCGGTACAACTATAGCACACGATGTACCAAGACAGCAAGCAGCTGCAATTCTAGGATCTCCTTTGATTGAGCAATACTAGTTCCAACTTGTGATGTAGAAATCACACTTCCGGCAGACAGCAGCAAAGCATGCAGCAGCGCACTGATTACAGAACCTCACAGCCAGGAAGAATTTTGAACTCACGGCACAATTGCAAAAAATACAGCAATTGTACAAGATCCACACGGCACAGCACAATAGGCTGCAATTCCAGGCAGCAGGGAAAAAAACACAAGGTTACTGCTGGGCTTGCTTTAAAAATTAAATTAAAGCCATTTGGCATCTCTTTTGTTTGTTGTCAAAAAGACAGCTAAAAAGTAAAGAGTCAAATAACTCGGCTGTCATGTCATATATAACATTTTTCTTAAAAAACACCTTGATGTTTTTTAACCTTGGTTGGCCTATTTGACATCTCCTTTGAAAATGATTTTATAACTTATAACTTATTTTCTACTTCCAGTGAGCAATGCTAGCTAGCTTGATCGTACTCACAGTGGGTTTCCGTTTTGGTCTCTAACAATTGTCCCACCCCCGCGACAGCTACATATAAAATTCTCCGGTGTTTCTTTGATTTTCTCAAGAGCATGGATGTCACGGTGCAGGATCCTTGAAAATATGCACCAAAGAGTCTTAGACACAGAAGGAAACTACAAAAGATTATATAAAGTAGTGTGCGACTTTCATCTTAAACTCAAGAGAAAATTTTTAAAATTCGCTGTTAGGTATGATATTGGGATGAAAAAAATTTAATGTATGACAATTTGAAAATCATAATTCTTCAGAACAGTAAATTGAGAATTACCCCTTATATTAT